TTATTTTTCAAAAAAATATATGTCCCTATTTTACTATACATTCTGATTATAAAAGAAATCACNGTGTGTGTGTGTGTGTGTGTGTGAGAGAGAGAGAGAGAGAGAGAGAGAGAGAGAGAGAGAGAGAGTGAGAGAGAGAGAGAGTGAGCCTTTTTGACTGAGCAATTTTCCTTCTAGCAATTTACATCCGGATGAAACAAACAATCAGGGCTTGGAGAAGATGGCCTCTTGACATCATGATCCTAACGCCCCTTCCTTCCCAGTATCCTCTCTGGAACCAAACTACCCAAGACAGGTTTTGTAAAGGAGTCTGGGGATGCCCCTGAGAACCCCGGATCTCCTGGGTTTTCAGCTAAGGTCTAGGTCTGTGAGACTGCCAGGCAGCAGTTTCAGAAAGATGATGAATTACGATGGCCTCTTTTGTCTGATCAATGAATAGCAGCGCTTTTGAGATGGCATAACTTATTAGTCAAGGAAAGATGAATTGCTTAACGTTTGTTGAGAGACTGCTGTGTTTCAAGCACTATTCTAGGCAATGTATGTGTTTACACATTTCAAGTCTCACAACCACCCCAGGAAGGAGGCACCATTTTACAGGCGGGAATGTTTTGTTCTCTCTCTGCCTGTTTAAGTAATTTGCCCAAGGTCACAGAGCCAGGACTGAAATACAAGCGACTGTAGATGCGGAGCTCTTAATCGTTATACTCGGATCCGTCCGATATGCCACTTCAAAACCTAGGGCATTTGTTGCTGTGTATTTACAGGAAACAATATTGGATGTCTTACTGCAACCTTAGGAGCAATGCTTTCTCTACTAGGTTCTTGATGAACCAGACAGAATCAAAGGCTCCTAAATCCAGGTCATTGGAAGACTAGAGGCCCACTTCACTGGCTCACTGTATGAGCGAGCGGTACCCCCAGTTTCTGCTAGCCAGCAAGGACACAGGTCCCATAGGGCCTGCCCTGGCCTTACCTACTTCTGCGTCTGGTAAACCGGCCTTTTGGTGCCTAAATAATAACAAAGGCTACTATTATTGAGTGAAGAGGTAACAAGCCAAACCTTGACCTCAGAGCCTACAGGTTACATGAACGAGTATACCGTACAAACTCTCTCAACATCACAACCAACTCAGCAATGCCTAACCATTCTTCCATGAAGGGCGGCACTTTCCGTGTGTCCTATGATGTTTGCTGGAAGTCACTGCAGCTCCTGGACCACCTGTCACCCATAAGACTCCCCAACTTCCTCCAGTCCCACATTTCCATATCCTTTCCGAGCTGCTCCAAAGGTATGTTTTATGAAAAATATTCTGCTTTCCAAGAGGAACAGGAAACGAAGACATTCAAACTCTTCATGCTCTGGAGATGTATTAATACTGAAAAAGCCCAAATAATTCTCATGCCATTTAGAATATGAAGGCATGTGACCTCACCAACATCCTGTCTGCACAGATGTATTTCAACAGATCGTTTCACATTGAACTCTGGCACACAAACATTCACACACAAAAAACAAAAACAGAAAAGGTTTTCTCAGTCAAGAATGTGTAGCTATAAAACCTTCCTAGCTATGACAGTTTATCTTATTATTTAAGAAGAGAGAAGAGAGTTTTCATTTTTTAGTGGCTTTTGAGGATTTTAGAAGAAACCATCCTGATGATTTATGAGCCTAAACTGAAAGAATTCTCTGCTGCTCTGTTCTTTGCAGGGCTCCCCTTGTCACAGACATACAGTTTCAAGAAATCATGGCAATAAAGCATGCATTCATAGAACAAATATTTATGTGGCAAGAAATGTATTGTGCCAAGAATATAGTGCTGAATAAGACCAAAAAAACAAAAAACAAAAAAGCCCCTGCCTTCACAGAGTTTACACACTAGTTTTTGGATACTGACTACTGCTTCTGTTTTCACATAAGCCAATTACCACTGTTTCATTAAATGGTGACAATTTATCATCACCCAGATGCATGGCGATGAGTGGGACAGAATGTAAATCGTTCACTCTAAGCACAGCTCAGAGTGCTTCTCTTGCTGCTCCTGGTGGAACTAAAGAGGTGTAAGATCCACAGAAGGACTAACAGAAAAATGAAAAGCTCCCTGCCCATGAGAAAACAAGGATTCCATACAGACAGCAGATCTAATTTTAAACTGGTATAGTGGGAAAACACTTCAAAAAAATCTAGTGACAGTCATGCAATGGAGTTACGCCATGGAGGGTAAGATCAGGCTCTAACACAGGTCATTATTTCATGGGGTTGGCTAATCTGCTAAGTGAATCATGCCCACTATCCAGGCAAAGTATAAAGCTAAAAGACACTTCCACTAAACAGAGGTATGCGATAGTGAGCTATGTCACATGCCTGTTTGGTCACAATAGCGTTGTCTATAAGGGATTTTTCTCAGTGTTGGACTCAACATTAAAACTATTATTAAGATTTATCCTTTAGTAAAATGTGGTTTGCCCACACTACAGAGTAGACTGTCCATCTTATAAAATAATAGGCAACCGTTACAAATAGAGAAGTAGATCTACACATTAATATGGAAAGAGCTCCAGCAAACACTGGTAGAAGAAAAAGAAAAAAAAGAGTAGACTAATACAGTATGATGCTATTTATAGAATTTCTTTTAGCCTCACAAATAATATTACATTTCTGAATGCAAAAAATTAAAAAAGGTCTGGAAAGACACAAAAACATATAAAAGTGGTCACGCTTCTGAAGAGATGAGAAAGGGCAATGCTGGAGAATTCAGCATTGTGTACAATCTTGTCATTTTCCTTGGGAAGCTATATCACATATTAACTATGTCATTAAAAATTAACTTAAAAGAATTAAAATAGGGAACACTCAAATCTCAAATATCTCACTATAATTTAATGTGAATATATATATATAATAAAATTGAGTGGGAAGTTACATTAAAACAAAATCACATTTCTTACAGTATTCATATTTTTCTTCCAAAAGCTTGATCATTCTCTTGTTTAATCTAAAAAGAATGGAAACTTAAAAATATGGATTCAAGTAAAAAAACCCATGGTTTTGATCATCTTGTCTGTAATATTACACATCATGGAAAAACCTAACCCTGAGGCTAAGCAGAAAAACAAAAACAAAACCCAGCACCTTACATGTACTAAAGACAAAAGAAGTCTCGCTACGTAGGAAACATGGAAAGCATTAAGTCAAGCATCCTTATCAAATCAAATCCCTTTAAACACCCCTCTGTCACTGTGTCCACAAAAAGATCCAGCATCGTTAAAGACACGACTCAGCGTATCTTCAGCCCCAAGTACAGCAGGTGCGGCAGGAGAGGAGGCCTGAGAATGAGATAGGCGGGTCAACAAAACAGATATGAACGAAGAGAGGAAATGAAAACCAAACCAAAACAAAAAGTGAACTGAAGACAGCAAAGGAGTATGGTACAGCAAGATCATCGGTGCCCACTAGGACTTTCATGACTGCTCCGGTACGAAAGAAACTGGCAGTCTGTACCTACAGAGCAATTTACCAAGCATTTCCACATACATTTATGGAAATAGAAGCTCTGCAACAACATACTGAGTATTCATCCCACTTTATGGAAAGAAACGGAAGTTCTGAGAGGATAAGGGAGTTGCCAAAAGCCACACAGCTAATAAGTGACAGAACTGGGGTCTTTGGACCCCAAGCCAATGTTCTTCTTAGTGGCCTGCTGCTGCTATAGACTGCCCCTGAAATTGTTCATTTTTCAAGTAATAATGACAATTTCAAAACGCAAGTATATTGTCTATACAGTTACTGATGTTTACATAGTAAGCTATTTTTCTTTCCCATCGGGAAGCTAACTCTGAAAAAACATACCTGATTTGTCCTTTTAAAAGTAACAGAATGTGGTGGGGGGGGCGGGGGCAGGGGGAACACTGGTAATAAAGGCCAACATGGGGGAGTCTTGTGGTGACGGAGCTGTGCAGTAGCTCGAATGTCCGGGGCACACATGAACCTACACATGCGACAAAAGTATACAGACCTTACACACACACACACACAAATGAGGGCAAGTAAATTATGGAACTCTGAATAAAATCTGTGGATTTTATCAATGTCAGTATCCTGGCTGTGATATTATACTATGTGGTTTTGCAAAGTATCACCACTGGGGGAAGTGGGTAAAGGATATATGAGGTCTATCTGCATTTTTTTGCTATACCTGCATGTGAATACACAACCATCTCAGTTAAAAAAATCAACAGTATACTTAGACCGCCAACCTGATTTTGAAACAGATTAGTGATATTGTGTGGAAATACGAGAAGGCATAATGTAGACATTCAAAGCTGCCTTCATTACAGTGGAACTGGTAAAGGCTTTATCCGTGAAGTTAAAATTTTTTAAATAATTATTCAAGCCATATATGATAGTGTGGAACAGTTTTTGGAGACATAATACCTTGGAATGAGCATCAGATCACCGTAGCCATGCAAATGATAAACCATTGGTGGAAGGAAGACTCGGGAAGAGGAAGAAGAAGGACTCTCTGAACTAGAACAAAGGGCTCTTTAAGAATTCTATCTCAAAACATCAACTGACGTAATACTAGAAGCGTAATCCAGTTGCTCCATAAAGCAGTTAGAGAACTGTGGTTATAATTGTAGGATGCACCAAGAATTGTCTAATAATAACACTAATCCTAACAGCTACTACTTATCCAGCACTTACCAAGTGCCTGGCATTGTGTTGGCTGCTTCACATAAATGACTGAAAAATCCTCACAACGACCTGCGAGGTAAAATGTGGAAACCAGTGGATCTCACGTAATTTATTCAAGGTTGAGTAGCTAAAAAGTGGCAGAGCTTGACTCTGAACCTAGGTTCTTCTGACTGTAAAGCTTGTGGGCTATTCATCACTCCGTAAGACATATATAAAGAAATACCTTACCTTGATATTCTGGTCCATGGCCCTAGGATGAGGGAAAAAGTTATACCCAGCAATGGAAAACCGTCACTGATCTACTTACCTGCTTGTAGGTTCCATCTAGCAAGGTGTCCAGGTGTTGGAGGGGGGCAGGTGTTTTGTCTTTGAACCTTGTTAATAGCCGGCGTTGAATGGCCCGGAATTGAACAGCTCTTTCAGATAAGAGGTTTTCTAATTTTTCACCATTTATCCGCAGCTACAATGAAGAATGTCTTAAATTCAGGTTAAATGTGCACAAAACATGTTTAAAGTAAGAATACAGAAAATGCCAATGAAAGTTTGAAAGAATAATGAAGAAACATAAACTTATTATAGAGTTAAGAGAATTAAAACAGCGTAGTATTTGGTACATTAATACATAACTAACAGAGTAGAATAGGTCAAACAAAAATGTAGCAAACATGACAGTATCACTGAGGAAGAGACAGATTATTTAATAGATGTTTTATGGTAGCTGATTAAACACATGGGAAAAAAATAAGAATTTCTCCCCTAGCCTTTATAGTAAAATCAAATGCAGAGGAATCAAAAGTTTAGATACAATAAATATACGAGAAGAAATACTCATCAATACAGACAGTTTAAATAAAAAGGACTACTTTATAGGAGTACTCGCTGCTTATATGAAAGGATATCCAAAGATGTGCTGAATGAAACAAAGCAAAATAATAATAATAATGATGATGATGATGACAGAATAGTATGCATAATGTGCTGCCATTCACATATTTTTTAAAAAGACATCTGTATATGAACATAGTTATGACTGCATAGGATAGTTCTAGAAAGATACACAAGAATCTAATCAACATAAGTTCCTCCAAAGAGGAAACTGGAGGATGAAAATCAGAAATGACTCTTTTCACTATAACTTGTCTCGTCCCTTTTGAATTTCATATTATTAAAATTTAAAAAAAGGTAGTCAAAGTCCATAGAGTAGCAGGAACACTCTATGAAATTAGACCAGGTAAACCGCTAATTCAGCTTTACAAAACAGTCACAAACTAGTTCTGAAATAAATAGCATATTGAAAATGTTCAGAAATCAAACATACTATAGTTTACATTTCTGACATCAAGCCAAACTTCCTTATCTTTTCATTATATGTATTCTCCAGATACATGATATAAAAAAAAACTTGTAATTTTTATTAACTTCTTTTAATACCAATTTTAGAAGCACTAAGTAACTAACTAAATTCAAGAATATTCCCTTGAAGGAAAACAAAAAGTTCCATTATCAAAAGTTAAGTGATTGGGCCAGCCGAGTGGCTCAGCTGGTTAAGAGCTCGCTTGGGAGGACCAGCTCTGAGCAGCAGGGCTGTGGTTCAGATCCCACATGAGGGCCAGTGACGCTCGCCCTCTATAGTTAAGATGGTGAACAACAGCTCGACCTGGAGCTGGGCTGCAGTGAGTCACCAGTGACAGTGTAGGCTGCAGCGGGGCTGCAGTGGGCTGCCGTGAACTACGTGAGTGGCTGGCAGCCAGCGTGCGCGGCCAACCAATGACGGGTGACTGATTGCCTCACCTGGGAAGAGCACAATGATAATATCAACATGGGCCAGTGAAGCAACGTCCTCCACAACTAGACTGAAGAACAAAAGGACAGCAATTTGTCTACCTGTCTGTTCCCCTTCCTGGATTCCCCAATGCTGTTCCCCTCCCCTCAATTCCCCAATAAAATCTTTAAAAAAAAAACAAGTTAAGTGATAAATTCTTTTTTCTAAAGATTTTTTTATTGGGGAATTGGGGGCATGGGAACAGTGCTGGGGAATTGGGGGACAGACAAGTTGCTGTCTTTTTGTTCTTCAGTCTAGTTGTGGAGGANAAGGTTTAAATCTAGCTGCTTCCCTGGGCATGAACCCTGATGTTGGGCATATAACCTGGTATGGTTATTCTGGAAGAAAGTTTGGCCTTTGAAGAAAGTTTTCATATATATTCTCTAACTTTGTCATTTGTCTTCAAGGAATTTCTCCAAAGAGAAACAGAGAAGTAATAAAATCGATGTACATGGCACCTCTAAACAATAGAATACTATGTAATCATAAAAATATAAATTTATTGACAAAGAAAGATAGCTATATATTTGAGTAGCATGAAAGACTGTTACAATGGCATGCTATTTGTTACTACATTTAAGTAAAATTTTTGTACAAAAGTACTGGTATCATAGCATACACTGCATGTTAGCTAATTTAACACCTGTTTCCAACCTAGAGCATCTACATTAGTTCTTATCCCCCTGTACAACTACTGGGTTGTCAGAAAAGCCATGACACATTTTTGCAATGAAAAACATAGAAAAAAATACGTCATGACTTTTCTGACAACCCAACAGAAGAGGCCATGTGACACTATTATGGCTATCAAGACCTAAGAAGGGATTTCCTAAGAACTTTCTAGAAGCATGCCTTTCTGATAAAAGCCATATTCATTGCTATTGCTATCTCTTTCCTCTACCTCCTGCCTTGTAGTCAGTTATGATGCCTGACACTGAAGCAGCTATCTTATTGCCAACAGACTAGAGAACGCACATTGCAGAGAAAAAAAAGAGATGGGTCTTGGATAACATTCACAAACCACTATAGCAGTTTCCCCTGCCCACTTCTCCATTTCTGTTTATATGACATTAAAAAAATACTTCATTATTGCTTCAGTCACATTTAGCCAAAAGCACGCCAGATAGTTATTTATATACACATATGTAAATAAAGATTTTCTAAATAGCCATTAAGCATATAAAAGCTTTTATAATTATAATATTTCTATTGGCAAGGATTTGGGATACTAGATACCCCCATTCAAACACTGTTAATAGGGTTAACTGATGCGGCCCTTCAGGAAGTCAATACCACATTATATTTCAAAAGCTTTAAAAATATTTTTATCCTTTGTTTGACTTAGTAATTCCACTTTTAAATATTCATCAAAGAAATAATAATAAATTTAGAGTATTGCTGTAATATACTTACAATATTAATAAACTGAAAACAACATAAATGTCAAAAATATAATGCTAGTCAAATGATTTTATGGTATGGATTTATGATAGAATACTATATGATCACTAAAATCACATAATAAAAAAAATCTAATTATATAGAAAGATGTCTCACAACACTATGCATAATAAAATCCTTTGGGGGAACTAAATGCTGAGAGAAAACATTGTTTTAAAAGATTAGGAAAATGTAATGAAATATAAGTAGATTTTGCTGGGTGGTAGAACTACCAGTAACTTTTTTTTTGTTTCATTTTTCTTTGGTTATCCATTTCTAGATTTCACATTTATTTTGTAATAAGAAAAATTAAAGTTATGTTAAATGTACCTATATTTGTTCACAAAAATAACTGAAATACACAAATAGGAAGACATGTAGATTAAAAGTAGTTTTATTTCTTCTCTATGAAGCTCATTATTTCAGTTAAAAAGTAGGTTTGCAATAGCGACTGTACTTGACATCAACATATAAAAGTCTTATATATACCAAGAGTGAAAGGTACTCAGGAAAAGTGAAAAATGAAAATGTACGAAGAGTGCTTATTTTAAACAATTACAGGATTCCAGCATGTTCAACATGAACACAAATCCAGGAACTCCAAAAAGAGAACATGCTATATAACATACATTGGATCTGGAGGGAAATTGGTTTTTAAATCTGTCATTGAGTCCCTTTTCTAAAGTGAGCAATAAGCAAATATATGCTGATAAGCCTAAGATATCTATGACATCAGAAGAACTGAGCCCCAAATCAGGGGCAAAGCGGATGAGTTATCTAAACTTTCTAGTACTTGTTCAATCCATATCTTACAGAGACTACCTCTGGTCAAAAGCATGCGTTTTTATTCCATCTCTGTGGGTTTCATCCATCTGCAGTGAAGAGCAACCACACAGAAGCCAGGGGCTTAAACATTTTTCAAAGGCACCAGTAAATGCGGTGTGCAACATATAATTTCCAACTAAATTTCCAGGATCATACAGGAGACCCAAGGAACTATATAAAATGTAAACAAATGTATTAGTTCCTTTTTTATAAAAAAATCTGCCTTTTTTATAATCCAAATTTGCTATAAGAAAATTGACTAAGAAGGGAAGAGAAGGGAAGGGAAGGGAAGGGAAAACCCAAAAGGTACAAAACTGTTTGCTAACTATATATGTATATAGACACCCAAACTCAATTCAAACTAAAGAATAGATTAATTGTAATAAAGAGCATTCAGTTTCAGAGGTTTTTCATAGTTATATATAAATAAGGCTTCTTAAACATTTCAAATTAATGAAAAATAAATTTTAAGCACTTTAAGCAGTTAATAACACAAAAGTTGACTTACCATAAATTTCTAAACCTTGTGGGAAATACTCTTTGTATTCTAAAGCCTACCCACTAACGCAAGAGTGAGGACGCGTCTCATAGTCACCAGTGCCGATTTTTAATGAGGAATTTAAAAGGGTTGATTTATTCCCAGATTTGTTTTTTATTTCCACCCCATCACCAAGAAAGTGAATAGATGGGACACATTAGAACCCCTAGTTACTAAAGATGTTTTACCCAATCAAAGCCTCTCTTTTTTTCTAAGCTACTCAGAAAAAACTGACACCTGGAGAAAGTCACACCTTCACAAATTACCCCAAATGTTCACTGTGCTATTCAAGCTTTATATACAAAGTCCCTTCTAAACGATCAGAGCCAGAGAACAAACATTTACCCCCTCCAGCTGCTGGAGACAACAGTTAGGAGATTTCTTTTCAGGGGCAGAAGAATATACTTAAAAAGGTACATATACAAAAACCTACAATGAAGAGGAATAATAAATATTTACATTCCAAGGCAAAAAATTCCACAGCCTAAAAAGAAACATTTGATGTTCTCATTTCTGAATACTGAAGCAAAATAATGATTATAATAATTTTAATCAAACTTAAAAGGTACACCTTATTACCTTGTTGATATAAGCTATTCGCCTTTGAACAGGCAAACACTGAGGGGAAAATCCTTGAGGCATTTTTATATTCTGACTTAACAATTATCTGATAATTACCCCATCATTACCTGCTGATGAGGGATTCCATTCTGAATTCTTCACATTTCTGATATTACAGGCATGTTATTTCAAAAGTCCTACCTGGAAACAGGCTGAGAAGGCTAATGGGAGGTTTGTTGGTATCGATAGTCAGTTTGTGGTTTGCAGTTTTTGA